ATTTTAATTTTAATTAATAACCCATTGAATTTTAAAATATTATTTAACGTACACCATAACACCAGTATAAATCAGTTTATACTTTATATCATAATTTTCATATTTTAATCCATGTCATGCAAATTTAAAAATATAAATAATCGAATTTAAATTATATTCTTAATAACACAAAAATATATATTATAACTCTTTATGAATATTTATGAATTTTTTATGGAAATAAAACAATTAAAATATTAAATAGTTAAATAAAAAAAGTAAAATTTATGTTATTTATCTTATAAAAACTACAAATATTGTTGTGAACCATTACATAAGTACATAATTGATAATTGTATCCTATTAATATTATCGTTTTATTTCTCATAAAGGTTTATACTCGCCAAATTTTATACAATATTAACTTCATATTAAATATAATATTATTATTTTTTAACTTATATAGTTTTCAATATATACATTTGGAGAGTACCAATGACATCATAGGTAAAAAATGTCCATTTTGTTGTGATATTCTATAACTCTATATTGATAAAATAAGTATTTTTATATATTCCTTTTATTATTATTTTTTGCGTGATTGTGTATATCTTTAAATTTTTTCAATTGATGTTTCTATAACCTTTCTAACTTTTGATTTTCCAATTTATATAACCTTTATCATTCTTTTTTATAAGTATTTTAATTGACATTTTATTCTGTATCTATTATTAATTTTTTTTTTTGGCGTATGTAAATTTTGTTTAACGTCTATATTTCATCTTAAATTTTGTTTCTTAATTAGTATGGATAGTATTAGAAATTATACTTTTTATTATTTGATTATTAACTTGATAACTAATTTCCATTTTAAATCTTAGTTTTCTTAATTAATTTTAAGTTTTAACACATTCATTATCTGATCAATATTATATATATGTCGCGATCTCATTAATTATAATTTTGCTTACGGGTCATGTTTATTTATATAAAAATGCATTACGATAAAATGTTTTATCGCATGTAACTACGATAAATACTTTTGATTTTATAATAAATACAACTCGCACA